GCCCTCCCCAGGCTCCTAGAAAGCCTCTGGAGCCTGGGGAGGGCGAAAAAAGCATGGCAAAAGCCGGGGGGGGGGAAACGCTGGACGCGCACGCATGTGTGGGTGTGGGTGTGAGTGGTTGCACATGCATGCATGCTGGGGTCGCATGCATAGCATTTTGGATGTGGGCACGCATCCACACATGACCCCCTCTGCACTCCCCCCGCTTTTGACACACGATCCAAACTGCCCATTCCCACATCCGATTACTCTGCAGACTCCTCTCCTGCCAGGCATTATGAGACAGATCTCTGTGTGGAGGCCAGAAATCTGGTCTCTCTCGAAGCCCAAAATGATCATGCAAGCCATGGTCCAGTCACCGGTGTAATTTCAAGCTTGACCACTGGGACCTGGCAATGAAGCCTGTTCAGTCGTGGCCAAAACTGTGTCGGAAGAGAAGCAAACTCCATCTTAAATTGGCCAACAGCTAAAGGTGACTTTAAGGTACCTTGGAAGGAGCCAAAGTGAACATCAAGAAGATGTGGCATTTTACATACATATATTTCCCCCAGACATGTCGATGGAAATTTATACTGGAATAGCTCCCTTTGTTATTTTGCAACAGTTCGTAAAAACATATTTATTTATTTAGGTTTTATTTGCAGGCAGGATTTCAGGGCTTGTAGTTGGAATGCTGTCTTTAAGTTTTCATGCTTGAAGCAGTTATTAAAATAGTAATTTAATTTCACTGTTCTTGTTTTAGCTAGCTTCCTTCAGCATCCCCTGTAGGCCAAACAAAGGAGCTGAAATCTGAGAAATCAGCGTTTTTTAAAAATTTGTAGGCGATTTCAATACGGGCACAAAAACCAGGTTTTTGCTTACATGGGCAGCTGCACTCATGGGTCCCTCCAGGTGAACCATGGCATTAAAAAGCCCAGCAGGCACTCACAATTTGCAACAGGCTCCTGTTGTCCCTCCAGGCTATGGATGGCCGCTGGACAGCGTCCCAACCGACAGAGCTCCGAAGCACTGGAGCCTTGGTGGAACTGCTTTCGGAGGGAGGGGGAACAGGCCTTGCGTCTTTGAACCCTGGGAAGAGCTTCTCGTGGTCACCGATCATTGCGGTCATCACTTTCTGAATCTGAGGAGTCCCTGTGGGAGAAACCAGGAAAGCACAAGGGGCAATGAGTGGAAATTGAAGAGGTTCACAGCCTTCGGTTCCCATAACCAGGCTACTGGGAGCAATTCCTCGGGCCGGTCTGGAGAAATGGGTCATGGAAGGAGATCTCCCAAAGGTGGATTGTGCGAAAGTTCTATGTTACAGGTTGTCCTCAACTTACAACCGCTTAGTGACCGTTAGTGACAATGGCACTGAGAAAAATGACTTATGGCCATTTTTGACATTTGGGACCATTGCATGGAATCCCAGGGTCATGGGATCAAAATTTGGACATTTGTCAATTGACTCACATTTAGGACGGTCACAAGTGTAGTAATCACTGAAAATTTAAATTTTTAGGCATAATTGGTTTGTCCAACCGGAAGTGATCAGGACATTAAAAGGTGATTTCGGTTACAATTTCCTAGCTGGATTCCCTGCTCCAGTAAGAGAGACGATTGCATTATCAGACAAAAAAATAATTGATCTCCACTAAGAAGATGGCTTTTCTAGAATCGATAACAGGATTCCAAATTGATTGGAAACCATAGGTGTTTCTATTAGGAATAATGACATCAAAATATTAAAAAAGGGATTTGGTATTTAATCATACACATAATCACAGTGGCGAGGATTGCCTTTGCTCAGAAACGGAAAAATAAATTGACACCAAATGAAGACGGACTAATAAGAAAGGTTTTGGACTGTGCCGAGATGGACAAGTTAACAAATTCAGGGAAAAGAGGAGACAGAATATTATCGGACATGAGAAAAATGGTATAGGTGGTTGGAGGAAAGAAATAAAGATTAATGAAAGAATCTAACGAAAGC